AGGACCTTTCAAGGACTTTCCAGGTCCAATACCCTCAAATTCAAGGACTTAATCAGGGTGTCTACAGATATGAACAAGTTAGATTCAAGACTTTTTAAGACCTTTTTAATACCACCTATATGAAATTTAAGACCAAACCTCTTTAAGACCAAAGCTATATATATATATATATATATATATTGCTGTCAAACATGCTATTTATTATTACGATATACAGCAAACTTGTCATATCAGCAGACAATATCCTATACAAAATATCCCCACAAAAGCACCGCATGACCAAGGGTGCGTCTCAATCAGCTCCCTAGCTCGTGAATCAGTAGATCGTGTAGGCTACACGAAAGTTCCCGGACTCACTGCACGTTGGGACAGTGATCATTCGAATTCCAGTGACATGATTACGTGCCACGTCAACGGACAACATAGTAGAACGTCATCACTGGAATTAATTTCCACCAATCTAATTTTATATTATTTTTTATTCTCTTTAAACACATCGTTCTGTTACATGTTCTTACAACATTTCAGCCGAATATTAATTATATATGTTAATTAGATGTGTTCAATTCCTGTCTAGCGATGTGTGTTTATGTTGAAATATACTAAAAAACGGTTTGTCTTTTCAAATCTTCTGTCGCGTGTCATATTTTTCGAGTTGTGAGGTTTGTTTCACGCTTCAGAAATGTGACGTTATTTCCGGTAAGGGAGCATAGTGAGCGCCGATGCTCCCTAGTTTTTGCGGTGCATTGTGGGATTTTTCAGGGAGCGAACATTCCAGTGCACTGGAAGCTGTTGGGGGGAATACATACTTTTAAACATACTAACCCCGCCAGTAGGTGGCGGTAAGTCTAATGGGTGAGTCTAGTGACTCATTCATTCAACCATTCACTGAATCATTCAGTCAAAAACACAGCTGCGTGTTGCTTGGAGATTGTGCTATACTTCTGCTGTGATCTTTGTTTGGAACTATTTTAGTTGGTGAAACAGAACAAAACAGTCAATACTGTGTCTAAAATGTAAGTAACCCAATTCCGTGACCACTCAACTACTTGTTTATTGAACTAAAATCAATGTAACATTTGCAATCTGAGAATATTCGGCAATTAGCTCCCTTGCCATGGGATGTTGCTTAACAACATCATGTTATAAATAAAAAACTTAACATTTTGAATTTTTACCTTAGTAGTTTCTTCTGTGAGTTTCTTTGTTCAGCTCTTTTGCTCATTTGATTTGATTTCTCCATAAAAGTCTTACAAAGAAACAGGCAGCACGAGCCTAAATAGCGCATACACTGTCCATTACCAATCGCTGTTTACGTTGAATGTAATAAAATCAGAAGAATCATTCTTGCATTTCGATGCTCCACTGGTTATTTTTTGCCACTTAAGTTTTAATCAGGCTATTTGTCCGGTCGGGCAAGTAAAATTCTAGAAAATAATGTTCTTTTTAGCAGCATCATATGACCCCTTTAACAGTGTGTGTGTGTGAAACGTTGAGGTTGTAGTAGATTCATGCACGCGTGAACGTCATGGCGACGTACAACACAAAGTACCTCACGCGGGAAACACTTAACGTAACGCGTAAATGCGGTAACTAACGTAAATCAAGCAAGCTAATATGCATAGGCCACGATGTGTTGGCGAAATAACACATTAGCGGACCGGAGGGAATAATATGATTCTTTTTTCCAGAAAACTTCTTGCACAAAATAAATTCAAGCACTTTCAAGGACCTGTATCTATGTATGCTTATTTTCAAAAACTTTCCAGGGCCTTGAAATGTTTTTTTCAGATTCACAAACTTTCAAGGATTTCAAGGACCCGTGGGAACCCTGTAATTAAAAAAAAAGACACATAGGTTGGATCTCGAAACCTGGGCTGCGTTCAGCTCCGACAAAAACGGTGCAAAACGTTTTTTAAACGGAAACGGTGGTGCGTTGAACACACTGTTCTGATGACGCAAGAGTTGCAACTATGGCAGCTGAGAAGGCCATTCTTTGTGTTCTTTTTGAAGAATTTTCGGAGCCTGATGAAATCGGTATAAATACGTGTTTAATACTGCAAAATACGCTCGATGGTACAGTCACTGCCCTTGCCGTCCAGAATAAAAGAGAACATCCCAATCGAGTGAAGGGATTTGTGGAAACTGTGGTTCCTAATTATTGTGATCCAACATTTGCCTCGCATTTCAGGATGAAAAGACAAACATTTCAGGTGAAGGATCATCCACTTCTTACCTCCAAGGCCTTATTTTTATTGTAAGTATTAGGCTTATCATTATTGCTGATCACTGTTGTTGTGCTATGATATTGTAAACGAATGCGACCTCCGGAGGGCGCAGCCTTCTAAATGAGACGCAGCACATGTTTTCGACAAAACAAAACCGGAAATCTAGGGGTTATGACGTCATTGGCAGGCGACACAATTAACTATAAGAATATCACAGTGATACTAAAGTAGCTGGGTACCACACTAAGTCTTGTGATACAGACTTTAGGCGGTGCCATAAATATTTCATTATTTATTTAAAGATTATTTATTTATTCATTAAATGTTTATTTAATTACTTTTAGGTGAAGTTGTACTGTACATTTCATTTTAGTCTACTTTGTTTTTCTATGAATGTGCACTTTCAAGAGAATCAACAGACAAAAAATAACATCAAATATCATATATATATTTTATTTATATTTAGAGATTTGATAAGAATTTTAAAAAAATGTCAGAACTATTCCCTTTAAAAGTTGTTTCATCTAAAATGATTGCTTGTAAGAGTACTTTTTACAAGAATTGAACAAGATTGTAAAGCACTGATCTAGCCTTTTATTTCAATCATATTCTGTGGACAAAAAGAGTGACATATTTCTTAAGTGCATATATAAAAGTATTTAATGCTACTTTTACATGAAAATGATCATTTTGAACTCAATGGTACAAAATAAAGCAATCTGACATATTTCATATTTCAAGGCCAAACTCTGATATTATGAACATTAAAAGTTAGTTATAGAAAAATACAAAACAATTATACAGTAATAAGTTTCAAATCCAGCTTGAAATCACTTGTTATACACAAGAGAAGTACTGAACTGAAGTGAACAGAATCAGATTTACAGCTGACTGTTCAAGTAACAGTGATTGACTGGCAGGGTAGTGCAAAACATAAGTGGAAGGGGTGCAAACAAAAACAAAATGCTCAGGAAACGGCTTTCTCCACACACTTGCCAGCAAATAACAGCTCAGTGCTTCAGTGATTTCAGCTTACATCAGCTTCATTACATTTCAAATGCAATTTGAACAACATTTTTTTTGTTTTTTTGAATGAAGTGCCTGTTGATTTGTGGCAGTAGTACTGCAAAGGAAATGTGCACAAATGCAGATACAGAATTACATTAGCTTATGTTTAAATAATTATATTTGCAAAGGCTTGCAGTTTACTATGATTTTCCATTATATATAGCTAAGAGCCCCACAGTGTACATTATACAACAGAGCACTGAAACTCTGAGACAGCTGATCTCATGTACTGATCCATACTTCCTGTTTAGACAAAAAAAAATTTTTCACACATTAAACATTTATATACCCGAAGGTTGACTTGGCATCTGGGGAAAAGAAATGCTAGGTCACATCGGACCACAGTAATTACAGTCTAATCCTCAATACATTTTAAATGCAGCAGTAACAATAATATACCTGTAGATGGCTCCACGCTATTCTCCTTGGCTAACCTTCTTTGGATACTTTTCACTGCCAGAGAAAGCTGAAAACATGCTTCAAGCACTGCAGAGGCGTGTACAAACCACTGAGTACATCAGGAGCTATATTATGTGAGGAGTCAGAGAAGTGTGGAAGTCAGATGTATTTATAACTCTTTATAATGGTTGCTATTATTCAGGATAAGCTCATCTATCCGTAGACCACTGGAATGGAATACTGTATGGAATGTTACTTGGTGATGATTTTATGTAACACTGCACTGTGGAAAGGCTGGAAACTCAGGGCTATATCCTGTTCCTCTTTCGTGATGAGCAAGAGAGCAATTCCAGGTATTGTTCCATTAAGAACATCGAAAATAAAAGAGCTTACATCCTGTCTGAAGGCTCATATTGTGGTTTGACAAAAACCTGTTTTACTTTCCAAAAGGACCCGCTTTAGCATCAAGGGCACTTTCAGCACCTAATTTGAATCTGACAAGAAGAACATTAAGAACATTAAGAACATCGAAAATAAAAGAGCTTACATCCTGTCTGAAGGCTCATATTTCGTTTTCGATACAGTAGGGCACATGTGGTTTGACAAAAACCTGTTTTACTTTCCAAAAGGACCCGCTTTAGCATCAAGGGCACTTTCAGCACCTAATTTGAATCTGACAAGGCCACTATAATCCTGTATTTACCTCATAATATTATAATTTAATAATATCCATATAATATACAGATATCAACATATGGGTGAAAAAAGGCTCTCTGTTAAACCAAACTCACAAACGAACTGGCCTCATCTTCCTGACTGGCTAGGCTGTCAGTTACCATAAGGCTTTGCATCAGACCTGTAGGAATGATGGGCTTGAAAGATCGGTTGCGGCTGTAAGCGAAGGGGAATGAGGATGACAATCGTCCCGAGGAGCCGAACGACAGCAGCCGGTGCTGAATGTATGGACGGTGATCAAGTTTAACAGCTTGTGAGGAGTCTCTTTGCTCCAGCACACGCTTCAGATCCTGCACCTGACTTAGAAGTTCCATAAGCTTGGTCATGACGGCCACAGAGCCTCCGCCCATGATGTGCACCTCAGGTATCCAGCGCAGGTATCGCTGAATCCAGACGCGGACAGCCGGCCCATCCAGACAGGGGAGCAGGAGGCCGTGATAGTCCAGAGGACGTTGTTGCCAGGACTCATAGAACCCTCGGGTGGTGGCAGTGGGGGAGTCAGGAGAGCCCATCCAGCGACTGAGACGCTTCACTCGTAGCATCTTTTTAAGGCTGTCGGTCTCGTCCTTAAAGAAACCTTTCTTGGACGGGAGTTTGAAAGCTGTGCTGGGTAAGGATAACTGTCTTTGGTGCTATAAATTTTTAATAAAAACAATGTAAATATTAATCTGCAAAAAAAAATGTATGCACAAAATAAACTCGACTTAGATATTATTCAATATAAACAGCAGAGTCAAACAAACAAACAAACAAACAAACATAAAAGCCAAAGAAGCAAATGTAGGGCAAGACTGGGTACGGAGTCTCCCTCACCTTTAAATTTTCCTCTTGACTACAGATGTCACTAAATCTCAACACATTTACCAAATAGCTATGCTCAGAATTAGGTGTTTTTATTATTTAATTTAAAGTCAGCATTAAATAGAAATTGCAATAGATTTCTTCCCTATTGTAATGTATATTTGAGTGAAATGGCTTATCAAACGATTTTTAAAAATGTAAAGCAACATTTGATTTTGTCCATCGGGATTGACTAGATAATAAAAAAAAAATGGGCATTGCAAACTAAATTTGTTCACATGATAAAAAAAAATAAAAAATAAAAAAAAGACAAGAACGGATAAATCACTGCAACAATCCATTTTTAAAAAAATTCCATTTTGATTTTATGATGACTTTAATAATTATTATAATTCAAAGCTATTTAATAAATCCAAGGTTTAGATGTACATTTCAGATATCTTTATTATTCACCATAATGTGTAGGCTGAGTGAAGTAATTTAATTTGAACTCATAGTTTCTGGCTATTATGACAATGTTTATATATATATATATATATATATATACAGTGGGTACGGAAAGTATTCAGACCCCCTTAAATTTTTCACTCTTTGTTATATTGCAGCCATTTGCTAAAATCATTTAAGTTAATTTTTTTCCTCATTAATGTACACACAGCACCCCATATTGACAGACAAACACAGAATTGTTGACATTTTTGCAAATTTATTAAAAAAGAAAAACTGAAAAATGCTCAGTATTTAGTAGAAGCACCCTTTTGATCTAATACAGCCATGAGTCTTTTTGGGAAAGATGCAACAAGTTTTTCACACCTGGATTTGGGGATCCTCTGCCATTCCCTCTTGCAGATCCACTCCAGTTCAATATGAAACATTTGGAATATTTTAAAATATTACAATATACTGTAGGTCTATAAATAATTCAGATTATAGAGTAATTCAGATATGTTTCTCTGACTGTGATTCTGCTATTTGATTTATCTGTCATTATGCAATTATTCAGGTAATTGTAAAAATGCATTGATTTATATAGAATATTTGACTTAATGACACATTTTCGAAACATGATATCAGATGTATATCTGCATTTTATTTATTGTCCAATAAAACCTAAATGCACAAATTACTATATTGCATGATACATACATGCTGAACTAATTTCTAAATATGATACAATTTAACAGTAAATGAACACCATTTTTAAGGGAGGCATTTTTCCACATCGTTCCCTAAATTATTAAACTATGTAACATAGATAGTGTAGGAGCATTTCACCCTCTCACCTTGGGCTTGTGAGCTTTGCGTACAGCTTTCTCATGTTTCACCTTTTCTGAATACAGGGGGTTAAAGAAGAAATTCTGGGCCTTGCTGTCAAACTGCACAGACCAGTCCCACACTGTAGGGCAGCTCAATGGGCTGCTTTGTGCAAGCGGTGACTCTGCCTGCCAAGACAATCAAGCACAGGCAGTTAGCGGGAGGCGTGCCGACTGCGTCAGGGAGAGTACATGTATGACTGCATTACAGAGGGCTGACTGTTTTCTTGTTAGCCACTGCACGTCTATAGAGGCCTCTAATACGGTTAACTTGCAGAATGGTGAATGCAGTACTCAAAGCAATCTTCAAAACAGTGTAACAAACTAACTACAGTAAGGTGCAAACACCACAATGACATCAACCTCAACGAATACATTTTAAATGAAATATATAAAATGAAATACATGAGTTCTACCTTCATAACACTTTCTCTGTGATGGGCAGAGTTGAACAGAAAGGTGCTAAAGACTGGCACATCAACACTGTCAGACAGCACAGTCAGGTAAGTCTCGGAGAACTGGAAGGCCGGGCTGTGCTGCTGAACAAGCTGCCACACGCACTCCAGGAACAGGAGGAAGACTGGAGAATGACACTACATTGAGAAACAAGAATCAAAATAAAAGGACAACGACGATGAGAACAACTCATCAGTCGGTCATCATTAAATCACACAAACCCCAGATGGTCTTGAATCATGCTGAAGGGGTTTATTTTGTGATAGCAACTGTATTCTCCATTTTAATCACACGGTTTACTTAGCCAACAGGTAAATAAATGGACATTGCTTTTAAGTGAAATTATTAAAGGGGTCATATGATGCGATTTCATTTTTTCCTTTCTCTTTAGAGTGTTACAAGCTCTTGGTGCATAAAGAAGATCTGTAAAGTTGCAAAGACTAAAGTCTCAAATCCAAAGAGATATTCTTTATAAAAGTTAAGAGTTAGCCACACCTACCTAAAACGGCTCGTTCGAACACGCCCCCACATACCTACCTCACTATGTGGGAAGATTTGCATAAAGCCCCCAAATGTTCACGCAAAGAAAGAAAGCATAACTTTTATTCTCGCTGTAGTATTGTAG